TGATATAACATATTATAAGGTATTTTATAATGCATTATGCATTCATTATAATGCCTTAAGAATACCCTTATAATGTGTTATAAATATGGGCTTCATAATTTTTCTTCACAGAAAGTGTTACCGGCATTTCTATACCATGTTAGTAATTATTGCTCTTTTTAATAAAAATAAACAGTGTATATTACAGTCGCAACATCTAACTACTGGGGTTCCTCAGGGCTCAGCTCTTGGACCTCTTCTCTGTCTACATGGCATCACTAGGCTCTGTCATTCAGAAACATGGCTTTTCATATCACTGCTATGCTGATGACACTCAACTCTACCTCTCATTCTATCCTGATGATTCGACAATAGCTGCTCACATCTCAGCTTGTCTAACAGATATTTTTTGCTGGATGAAGGACCATCACCTTCAACTCAACCTTGCTAAGACAGAACTGCTTGTGGTTTCCATCAAACCCATCGTTTCATCACAATTTCACCATTCAGTTAGGCACATCAACCATAACTCCTTCAAAAACAGCCAGAAACCTTGGCGTTATGATTGATGATCAGCTGACTTTCTCACACCACATTGTAAAATCTGCCCGGTCCTACAGACTTGTTTTATTCAACATCAAGAAGATCAGGCCCTTTTTTTCGGAACATGCTTCACAACTCCTTGTTCAAGCTCTTGTTCTGTCCAGGCTGTTCTGCAAGTGAATGTCGCTTTATTGTGCCATCCCAAAGATACACAAAAACACTTTCACGAATGTTTTAATTAAATGTTCCCTCCTGGTGGAATGACCTGCCCAACTCAATCCAAGCATCTTCAAGAATCGGCTAAAAACACATCGCTTCCATCTTTATTTGACCCTCTAACTCTAGCACTCTCTATTCTAATTATATTCTTTAAAAAAAACACTTTTTTATTATAAAAACACCTTTTACACTTGCACTCTATTCATTTACTAATTGCTTTGTTTTCTTTTAAAAAAAACTAGCATTAGCTTTTCTAATCTTTTTGTATTCTATCTATTTTTTTATTATTATTATACAATTAACAAAAGCAAAAAAGCTTCTAACACTAGCTTGCTCTATTCTTTTTCTATTTTATCGGTTTTGTTTTTATTTTTTTATTCATTATACAGTGCCGTGAAAAGGTTTTTGCCCCCTTCCTGGTTTTTTAATTTTTTGCATATTTGTCACTTAAAAGATTCAGATCATCAAACCAATTTTAATGTTACACAAAGATAATGCAAGTAAATACAAAATGCAGTTTTTAAATAATAATTTCATTTATTAAGGGGAAAAAGCTGTCCAAACCTACCTGGCCCTACGTGAAAAATGATTTGCCCCTCCTCTTAAATCATGAAAGAACTGTGATTAACCACATTATTTTAGAAAGCCGAGTTAAATTTCACTACCCACACGCAGGCCTGATTACTGCCAGACCTGTTGAATCAAGAAATCACTTAAATAGAACCTGTCTGACAAAGCATGCTTAAAGAGCAACACATCATGCCACGACCTAGACAATTCTGCAAAGAAGAGTGGGCCAAAATTCCTGTGAAAGACTCATTGCCATTTATCGCAAACGCTTGATTGCAGTTGTTGCTGCAAAGGGTGGCACAACCAGTTATTAGATTTAGGGGGCAATTACTTTTTCACATAGTGACAGGCAGGGTTGGACAGCTTTTTTCCCTTAATAAATGAAATCATAATTTCAAAACTGCAGTTTATATTTACTCAGGTTATCTTTGTGTAATATTACAATTTGTTTGATGATCTGAATCTTTTAAGTGTGACAAATATGTAAACAATTAAAAAAATGGGAAGGGGGCAAAAACTTTTTCACACCACTGTATAATAATAAAAAATAAAAAAAACCTTGCTACGCGTACTGCGTTAAGCCAACTGAGACTTGTTATAACACTTGCATATCATGATGCTGTTTTGTTTATGCTATTTACGAAATTATGTTATGATTTATACGAGTTAAATTCCTTAATGGGTTAGTTCCCCCAAAAATGTAAATTAGCCCACAAATTACTCACCCTCAAGTCATCCTAGGTGTATATGACTTTCTTCTTTCAGACAAATCCAGTCAGAGTTATATTAAAAATTGTCTTTGATTTTTCAAGCTGTTTAATGCCACTCAGCAGGTGTTGCATGCATCAGTCCAAAAGAAGTTAAATAAAAAGCACCCATCCATAAAAAATTTTTTTTTTTAAAGTGTCTCACATGCCTCCAGTGGCTGAACAAAGGCCTCCTGTAACGAATCGATGTGTTTTTGTAAGTAAAACATCCATATTAAAAACATAATAATCACTTTAATGTAGCTTGCGCCAACAGTCCTACACTGAAGCAGGTCCGGGCGGATGACGTATGAAGTCAGCTTTTTTTAATTTGTTTAAAATTTGTTACATTTTTATTTTGTGATTGACTGTTAAAACAAAAAAATATTTGTTGTTTGTCTCAATAAATTGGGTTAATTTAAAAATACAGTGGTTAAATAAAAAAAAAATTATATTGCTCTGTTTTAAAAAAAGGTTACAAAAAATTTCAATAATTATCGATACCGAACGATATGAAACATTATATCTTTGATAAATTTTTTAGCTATATCTCCCAGCCCTAGGTCAGCAAGATTTTATTTTTTGAAAGAAATTAATACTTCTCTTCAGCAAAGACACATTAAATTGTTCAAAAAAAGACATTAAAGAGATTTATAAAAATTACATTCTTATAAAAAAGTATTTTCTTATTAAAATGCCACTGTAAGACAAAACAAAAAATAATGTGCATGAATTATTGTACTGCACAGTAGTAAATGGCATGTGCTTTGCCATCACAGGAAAAAATTACATTTTAAAATATATTCAAATAGGAAACAGTCATTTTAAATTGTAATACTATTTTACAATGTACTGTTTTTACTGTATTTTTGACCAAATAAATGACCTGCCATGGGAGTTCAGTGTGAGAATGAGCAACAGTAACAAACACCCACAGAAAGAGAGAGGAAGATCATGTGCTCGAGGTCCTGTCGCATTACATCAACAATCAGTGCCGTGACCTCACTGGAGAGGTCATCGACCTGCGACCCCACCGTCAGCACACCAGAGGAGCAGAGGTCAGAGGTCAGCTCTGGCTGTCGGTGGCGTGCGTTCGCTTGGCTGGAGAGAGTGAGATGACTGGGGGAGAGAGAGAGAGACAGATACGACTGCAGCCGCCTGACAGAAGAGAACAACAGAATCCTGCTCAAGGATGGACACACACACTCAAACGCTCGTGTTTTACGGACAGGATCGGACAGATGGAAGATCTGAAAAGGGCAGCATTCATTTACAGTCAGATATCAGAAAAGGTTACCCTACATCAACTCAGACAGCTGGACACACACACATACACGGCACTCAGGTGGTCCTGAGGAAAACAGCTGCCAAAGATGACATTTCAAGGTTTCGCATTCCATATTCAAAACAGAAAACACTGAGAGAGTGTGTGTGTGTGTGTGTGTGTGTGTGTGAGAGAGAGAGAGAGAGATCGCGGCGGATGCATGACAACATCACACTCTTTGAAGGTCATTTGCTGAAGGGCGAAGCCACATACACAGACCTAAAAACCTCACGCACACACAAACACACACACACAGCTTGTTAAAGTCGACAGTGCTGTATATCTTATCAGATATAAATATGCAGTAAAACTGTAAAGGCCAGTCATAGAGGACAAAGAGCAGGTGGCACGAAACACACACACACACACCTGACACTTGCTTCTTGCTCATTTCTAATTCATGAGGGGCTTTTGCATACAGTCACCGAAAATATGACATCGGGCGAATCTCATGAAACCATTCAAGATCATGTGCAGGTCATATTTCACCCCAAAATATCAAAGAAAATATATGAAACAATAATTTGCTGAAAGAAGAGACTCCTTTTATGTTTGCACTGTGTAATAGTCCAGTATTTAATTTTTTAGAATTTTTTTTAGCTTTGGTGTGCTGACTTTTTGTTTTCGGTTTTCCAATTAATCCATTAAAAATTAATATTGTACTGCATAAACAATATGCAGTATATTACAGATAATGTAATGTAATGTTCAATGTATTTATATGTCAGGGTGGCAATTATTGCTGATATTAATAAAAAAAGGAAATGTATCAATAAATAATTAAATATGATAACGTATGTGTCTAAATTAATGATTAAAAATAAATTATTGTAAAAAAAGCAATAATTAAATATCCAACTAAATAATAATCAACAATAATCCACAAAATTTCTCTAAATAATATAAAAATGTTCTCCAAATATCAAGAAATAAACAAGAAACCAGTGTTAAAGTATTATTTATGTACATTTATTTATATTTTATAATAGTATATAAACAAAATAAGTTTTTATTTTTAAGTATTTATTTGTGTTGCAATTTTAGTACTTCAACTTATTTTATTTCAGTTTAATTTCTTCAGTTTTAGTTTGTAATCTAATATTTAATATAAAACAATAATAACATTTAAACAAAACCAAATAATAAGCAATAATAATCAATAAAATAAAAAATGATTTAAAACAACCTCAATATGGTAATGAGAAACACAACTGAGAATGACAATTTAAAAAAAAAGAGGAAAGATTAAGATTTTTTTGCATTTTGAGAGGACAATGTACTTAATGGTCCTAAATCTGGCTTCATTTTCTTTGTTTAACAGTTGTTGATGCTGTTTTCTTTTAGTTTTGGGGTGAATTGTGGACACGTTTTCATGAGATTCACCCTCTCCTTCAGTAAACACACACACACACACACACACACACACACACACACACGAGTCTCTGTCATCATCAAACTCAGCACTGGTCCTGATGTTGTGCTCTACACTGAGATGACACCCATCTCTTTCACATCCCTGTATTCTGTCATCCATGTTTGGCCCAGTGTCTCGGAATGAGTGTCTCAGTGGACACACACACACACAGATGCACAAGCACAGAGCGAGGGCCGTCTCTTACCTTTAGAGGCTGTGTTGAGTAAGACAGACAGAGGAGAGAGAGAGAGACAGGTTTAATGTGTGACGGTGTGTGTGTGGTGTGTGTGAAGTGACTGGAGGACGGCTGATCTACTCACTCTTGGTCTGGGAGGAGAAGGTCAGAGTGAGTTTGGCAAACAGCTCCTTGTTCTCAAAGCGCTCCTCTTTCGCCTTCACCCAGAAACTGCCTTCAGACAGCTCCTCCGGTGCAATCTACAACATACAACAGTCATTGGCACCTTCATCCCTCTATATTTACATCCAGCCATCTCTTTCATATATCAGTCATCCAATCACCACCTGTGATCCATCAATCAATGTGTCTATGCATCCATCCAAATCATATATAGCACTCACTTATTTGTTTATCCATCCATGTTAATATAATTTTATTTTTTCTCCAAATGTTAAGAAATGGAGGACAAGAGACATGTTAAGAATGATTTCTATACGATCATAGAATTTGATAATAGTAAAGGTAACATTTTAGTTTAGGAACCAATTCTCACCATTAACTAGTGGCTTATTAGCATGCATATTACTAGCATATTGGCTGTTTATTAGTACTGATAAAGCACATATTAATAACTTATACTGCATGACCATATTTTAAATCCCTTCGTCCTTCCCAATGCCTAAACTTAACAACTTCCTTATTAACTATTAATAAGCAGCAAATTAGGAGTTTATTGATGAAAAAGTCATAAATAGTAGTTAACAGTGAGAATTTGTCCCCAAACTAAAGTGAACACAGTATATAATAATAATAATAAAAAAAAAAAAATAAAAAAAAAAATCACAAAATGATCTATTATAGAGTATTTTAAACTAGCTGAATTAGCCTTTTTTAAAGTTGTAATTGTATTTTGTAAAATAGTAATTTAGCAATTGTGTTATGTGCTTTAGTCATTTTTTTTAATCGCTTTGTCTGTCTGTCTGTCCATCCATCCATCCATCCATCCATCCATCCGTCCATATCTGTCTGTCTGTCTGTCTGTAAATCCATCCATCCATCCATCCATATCTGTCTGTCTATCCATCCATCCATCCACACCTTTAATTTATTTAAATTTTTAGGTAGTTGCCAAGGCAGCATCTCTCATTTTCTTTGAACATTTCAAACCAAGATTTTTTTATTTTTTATTATTATTTTAGTTTTATTTCAGCTTTATTTCAATTAACAAAACTATTTTATTATCTTTAGTTGACAATAACAACACTGCAAGAGAGACAATAAATCAAAAAATTATTCATCTGCATGAGATCAAAGCCCACAAATAACCATGTACAACAGTTCCGGTTCTAAAATCTGATTGGACGAGTCACATTTTCAGCTGTTGTGATTGGCTGATACACACAAACACCTGTGATGCACATCAGTTGAGCTCTGTATTAACGCAGCATGTTGTTTCACAACCATAAACATTGTACACTTAAGCTAATGACACATGATGAAGGAACTGCTTTGCATGATTATTACTGTTAATACATTTATGCAGTGATGCTGTGCCTAACAACATCCCGTCCAGTCGGCTTATTGCTTTAACGCGCCCCTGGTATCAGGACAATATCATTAAGCAGACACCGCTGATATGATCACACGGTTCAAATGGGTTTCTCCTTCATTTATAGATGCTGCACTGACTAATGGACCGTAGTTTGTGATTCTGGAGTCCGGGGTTTTACTTCACCCCATTCGAGAAGATGAAACGCCACCGAGCGCTTTCTCAAAGTCTCAACTCATAACCTCATTTATACAGAAGAAAAACGCTGCAAGTCTTGGGAGTAAAATGAGTTTAACAGCAGCGAACAGGCTGTCAGGATATGAGCGCTGCTCCTCTGACTAACCGCCTTCAGACACCAACCAAAGACAGAATGAGAAATGTAGAACACAGATTAGAGGAAGACAGTATATGATAATAGACAGAGAAGAAAAGAGGGTGAAACTCATTAAAACGGATCCCGATTTTACGCACAAAGGAGAGAAAGGTGACACGGTCCCAATGCACGCTGGGACGGCCAGACAAAAAACACTCGCTGCCTCTGTAATTCTCTCATTCTCTGTTAATGCACATCTCACAAACCTTTCTAACGTCCATCATTCTGTCTTTTATGGTTCTGTGGCTCCGTTATCTAATACGGCTAAGCCATATAGCGGGAAAAAATGTGTCAAAGTTTTTAAATATAAATATATCTTGATTTATGCATGTAGGCTATCGTCCAAAAGTTTTCAAAGGCTTTTGTGAAAGAAATTAATACTTTTCCACAAGGATGCATTAAGTTGATCAAAAGTGACAGTAAAGACATTTATAATGCTACAAAAGATTTCTAGTTCAAATAAATGCTGTTCTTCATTTCGGGAAATTTCTACTCAAAGAATCCTGAAATTAAATTGCATCACTATTTCTACAAAACAAAAATATGAAGCAGAAACTGTTTTCAAGAGTGATACTAATCAGAAATGTTTCTTGAGCAGCAAATCAGCTTATTAGAATGATTTCTGGTGGATCATGTGACACTGAAGACTGGAGTAATGATGCTGAAAATTCAGCTTTGCATCACAAGAATAAATTACATTTTAAAATACATAACAATAGAAAACATGCAGTTTAAATAGTAATAATATTTCAGTGTTTGATCAATTAAAGCCTTGGTGCAGTAAAAAAAACACTTTTGGGCTTGATGAACAAGAAAGGATATTTAATCTATTTAATTTATGTGCACCTTAACAACAGCAAAGAAACAGAAATATTATTAACTATGAATGAGAGTTTAGAATGATTCATTGAAACTGATGAATCAATGATGGGAATCAATCATGGAGATGAATTAAATAAACTAATCCTTAGCGTCTGAAGTTCAAAGCTGCTGTAACAAAATATATTTGTCGCTTTCATATTAATACAGCAGCAGGACAGAGATGTGTATAAATTAATCTTTATGAAAACTGAAATGTATTATTGCGATATTTACAATGGTACTTAATCTTATAACCAGTGTTATTGAAGTATCAATGACATATTAATATAGTTTTTATAAATATTCTGAATTAATTCTTATTTTTCTGTTTTTCATTTTCATTTTAATTTGTGTGGTTTTATTAATTTTTATTAGTCTTTTTTGTACATACATTTGTAATTATATTTGATTAATTAATTAATTTTTATTAAGCAATTTTATTCATTACAATTTTTTAGTAATTAATTTATTAATTACTAGTTTTTATTAATATTTAAAATACATATTCTCTTATTTTCTGTTTTGGTTTTAATTGTACATTTTTTATCATTTTGTTGTGTGTATTTTTCACTGATCTAAAATAGAGAACATTATTTATAGATCAGTGTTTTTTTTTAATTAATTTTATTTCAGTTATAATTTTAGTTATTTTAGTAGCAGTGTACAAAATGCTACATTTTGCTTTGCCAACTACCTGAAATACACACACAAATAAACTTATTTCATTTCACTAAATGTTTTTTCATCTTTGTTCTTATTTCAAGATTGAATTGATTTTATGAAATTTGATATTTCAAGTAATCAAAATGTTTTTATGCTTTTAATTTTAGTTAACTATAACAGCCCTGCTTATAACACTGCCAAGCCAAAATCATACTGAAACTATTAAGCACTCAAGAACAATGCATTGCAATGATGAAGCATCTGTGAATGTTTAACATTCACAGTCAGTCAGAGAGTGTCTTAAATGACTGTCACTATGTAAGTGCAGCATCTCTCACCTCCATTTCCACTGAAATGTGAAAAGAAACATAAATCTGAGAGGAGAGGACGAGAATAAGATATATAAGGGGAAAGCGGAGGAGGCAAAGAGAGGTTAGGACACAGAGACAAGGTACAACCTCTAATGATACACCAGCATCTAATTACCCTGAGAGAGAGAGAGAGAGAGAGAGAGAGAGAGAGAGAGAGTCAGGGGTGGCGTGAGATAACAAGACTAGTCTGAGAGGATGAGAGGAAAGCGAAAAAAATGTTAATTTAAATTACAAAAGAATGCTGTCCTTTCTACCAGCAATTTAATTATCTTTCAGAGACACAGTCAAAAGACGCAGGCTTATTAAAAAGCTATTTCACTGACATCCTCAAAGAGCTCTAACCACTGAGAGTCTAAACACTCATGAATTCCACTGAAGCCATTAAAGAGTAGCTTTAGGCTAAAAGGAGACAGGACCGTTTTGATGTTTTTACTCTTGTGGAGGGCGAGAGATGCCAGAGATGGAAAGAGAGAGAAAGAGAGAGAGATCAGAGGAGGAGAGGAGCGTGTTCATGATCAACAGCTCATCGTCACACGTGTCACTTTCACTCCAAGTGGGCGACATACGGTTGAAACTACGGCTATGCTGACACACACACACACACACACATAACACACGCGCACACGCACACGCACACGCACACGCACACGCACACGCACACGCACACGCACACACAATCTTCTTCATCAGTACTTTTGTCTTGGTCTCCATATCTAAACAAAGATCAGTTTACTTGAGAAGCATAACTGCGTAAGTCTTGCTTTTAGAGAATGTGTTAGAGAATATATAGTATATATATATTTGTTGTGTGTTGCACTGAAAGTTACATGAATTTTGTATTTTTATTATGTACGCTTTTTTGTATTTTTATATACAAAAACAATAGAAAAACAGGGCAGCAGAACGCAAAAAAATTATCTCAATTGGGGTTTAAAATTGTTATGAAAGCAATCCAGCCAAATGCGCAGAAATGAACCACTCTTAATTATGCATGATTTGCCTGTAATGTATTTCATAATGCTGTGTATTTCCACAAAAAATATTGTGCAATGCATCTATGATCAGTGTTATTTTAGTATCACTGATATACTATTATAGTTTTTACTTTATTTTTCTATTTTACGTTTTATTTTGAGGTCAAGTTTGACTGATTTTGTTGTGTATTAACAACAATGCTTTTTAAAATGTCTATATAGCTTTAGTTTCATTTTATTTTTGTTAAACATTTAGCTTAAACTAAATGAGTTGAGAAATGAGAAATGTTGCCTTGACAAGTAGCTAAAATAAAATAAGTATTTTTTTTTCTATTTTAATTCAATTAGTTAATGTTTTAGTTCAAGTAATATTTTTTTATGGTTTTAATTTTAGTTAACACTATTCTCTGTAATGCATTTTTGTTATTAAAACCAAAAGGTAAAAACCTTTCTTTTCTAGAGTCATTATCTAAACAGCTACTATTTCTCTATAGACATTAGACTAATAGTCATGCTGATGAGGCAAGTGTATGTCTTATTTTCAGAGAATCTCAAATTAAGTTTATTTTTCATTTTTTCTTCTTGTTTTAAGTACAAAATCTACTAATTTTAATTGAAAACTAAATAAAACTTTGCTAAATAAATAAAAATATTAAATAGCTGAATGTAATATTTATTTAGATTTATGTTTAAAAAAAAAAAATTGCCAATACCATTTATAATGTTAATAATATTATAATATAATAATGTGTGGTGATGATGAGACCATGGCAAGTCTTATTTTCAGAGAATATTATTTTTTATTTTTCTTAACCCATTGGCAAACCATTTAATTTTTTCTTGTTTCAAGTAGAAATCAAAAAATGAATTTTCATTAAAATAAATGAATAAATCATTAACTTATTAACTTTATTTATTTAGGTAGGTATACGTTTAAAAAAATATATAATTATTAATAATATAATTTATTCATGTGCTTCATTGGAATATACTAGTGCTGTCAAACGATTAATTGCGATTAATCGCATCCGAAATAAAAGTTTTTGTTTACATAATATGTGTATACTGTGTATATTTATAATGTATATATAAATACACACACATGTATGTATATATTTAAGAAAATATGTTATGTTTATATATTAAATATACTGTATTTATGTATGATACAAAAATATAAGAATATAAATATATAAATGTATATACATGTTAATATTTTCAAAATATATACTGTGTGTGTGTGTATTTATATTTACACATAATAAATATACACAGGCATATATTATGTAAACAAAAACTTTTATTTTGGATGCGATTAATCGCTTGACAACACTAGAATTGATGAATTTACTTATTATCATCTTAATTTACTTAATATTTTTATGTAGCTTTTAAATCACTTTTTGATTTGTTCTATAAAAGTGTGCCAAGCCCGACTGTTTTTCATTTTTGTGCCCTTCTTCTCTAGAATCATTACCTAGTTTGAGCATTAAACAGCTGCAGCTAATTCTCTAATGGTCGTTAGACTAATAGTGACGCTGATGAGGAAAATGTACCGGCATTTATAGGAGGTGTAGACGTGTGGGAATATACACACCTTGCTCCAGTTGGCTCTCTTCAGCTGCACCTCAGGTTTGTAGTCTTTCTTAGGCTGGAGGCCGAAGGGCAGCTGAGGAACAGGAGGCGCCCATCCACCAAACCCGCCCGGAGGGGGCGGAGGCATCCCAGGACCGCCCATCGGAGGAGGCGGTGGAGGCATACCGGGCATCCCTGGCGGAGGAGGCGGAGGCGGTGGCATACCAGGTGCTCCAGGTAAAGGAGGAGGAGGAGGCGGCATTCCAGATGCGCCCGGTAAAGGCGGAGGAGGTGGGGGTGGTGGCATACCGGGTGCTCCAGGAAGAGGGGGTGGCGGAGGGGGTGGCGGCAGACCAGGTGCTCCAGGTAAAGGAGGTGGTGGAGGGGGCGGAGGCAGGCCAGGTGCTCCGGGCAGAGGTGGAGCAGGTGGTGGTGGGGGCACCGTCTGTCCTGGTAGAGGAGGTGGTGGGGGAGGAGGAGGGAGGTAGGCTCCAGCAGGACAAGGTGGAGGTGGCACCGAGGAAGCTGATTGGCTGGGGGGCAGAGCCACAGGCACATGTACGGTGATGACCTTCGCTTTGGCTTCTTTGAGATCTTCTGAGAGCTTCTCAATCTGAGAACCAGAAGAAACAAAGAGGTGCTCATAAACTTTGTTTAACTTTTTCCCCGCCAAACACGGACTTTTCCGGGTTTCCGCATTCTCGCTGTTATATACCAGGGGGCGCTATTACGCATCTCCTGAAAGAGTCTTGAATGTGCCGATCAAAAATATAGACCAGGAAGATGCAGAAACGAGCGATCTCATATGTATGCATGTAAAAAAATAATGCGATCATCAACACTAAGCACATATAAATGAAAACTGCCTAATGTTACAGAGTGAAATGTCAATCCAGGAAGTGGTAAAGGCCTGTGCAAGCTTTGGGAGTACTGATAGAAGCAATCTACTGCACCTTTGCTTTGATAATATTACTGAATATGACCCAGATGTAGTATTTGATACAAATGTGATTTTCTTTTTGCTCAAAATGTTGCTTTTTTTATTAAACCTACCAACATTCAAGTGTTCATAAAAAAAACAATGCTTGAAGCTAGAATAAAATTGATTTTTTTTTTTAAGTGGAGGGTAACTGATCTGTATTTTGTTGTATTGCATGTTCAGATATTCATACAACAAAATATTCTGGGGGGCCATGACACTTTAGTGAAAATCAGCAAAAACGCTGGTGGAGGCTGGCAACTTTTTTCAAAAATGCTGGCGGGGAAAGAGTTAAGAACAACACTTTGAAGCATTTCCACCGAATTAAAAAAAAAAAAAAAGTAAGTGCAAATTAATATATAAGCTCGCAATACTGAAAAAAAGTCAGAATTGCAAAATATAAACTCAGAATTCCAAGATGAAAATAATTTTGACTCTCACAATTTCAAGTTTATATCTCACAATTCTGATTTTTTGTTTTTTTCTCAGAAATTACATTTTACAATTCTTTTTTTTCCCACCACGAAAAAATAAAAATATTTGCAACTTTTTATTAATTGTGAACTTCTCACAACTGCAAGTTTATATCTTATGACTTTTCTTTTCAGAATCATAACTCACAATTGAGTTTATATCTTCCAATTCTGAGATTGTAACAATTCTGACTTTAAAAAAAACTCAGAATTAACTTCAACCTTTTAACCTTTTTTTATCCCACAGTGGAACCAGGCTTCCATATAATACAGCTCATGCTCTTTTGCTTAAAAAAAAGAAAAGAATGTTCAATGCTCAATATTAAATCAATGGTTTGGAGATGTATTTATTTATTTTAGATTTATTTTAATTATTTATTTTAATTATTTCCTCCAATAATCAAAAAATTGGATAAAGTGATGTTATTTCCTGTATTTTTAAATTTGATTTATTTTTTTTGTGTTCCACTGAAATTTACATTACATTTATAAATTTTATTCTGTAGTTTTTGAACTTCCATTTCCATCAAAACATTTATTAGCATCAATTTAACATGTTTTTTTGACAAAATAAAGTCACTCATCTCAATATAAACAAATCTTACACTATAACAGTGAAAAGAGATGCAATCTATCAAAAGCAAACACTATTTTAATTAAAAAAAATACTTAATGGATGAACATTTCTTTCTAAATACTTTTTTGCCCCACTGTGTATATATATATATATATATATTAGATATATATTAGATATTATAGATATATTATAGTAAATATATCAACTATTTTTATAATTCTTTTGATTATTCTATTAAATGATCGAATTGGATAAAGAATTAAGTCATTGGATAAAGTCATGTTATTTTTGTTGCGTTCCAATGTATAATTTTTTTAATCTGTAGTTTTGTTTAACTACAGTCTTGGATTATTTGACATATTTTGAGAAAACAGGGAACACAGAGGCACTCAAGAACATTAAAAACACTTTTTGACAAAATATAAAAGTCAGTTCTCTCTGTAACGATTCTTAGACCATAATTGGGTATTAGGGATTTGTTCAAATCACTATTTATTTAAGTGTGGCGTGTAAATTAGGTTATCGATAAAATTGTGACAATCAAGAACACCATAGCATGGCAGGCATTGCTCATGATTTCAGCATAAAATGTAAAATCTAGTTAACTGATGGAGGGAGAGAGACAGACAGACAGAAGAAGGTCAGGCCAGAGTTGGAAGCACATGAGGGAGTGTCTAAATTCATGTCTAATTAGCAGCATAATTTATTTACCCAGAACTTGGCAGAACTCATTAAAAATGACCAGCCTGCTAATGTCACATCAGAGAAAGAGAGAGAATCTGAAGTAGTTCACGGGGTTCTAGCTGAAGTTTCTGATGCTTGTTTATCTGTAGGTGGCGGGTTGGTTGAGCTCAGCAACTTCTCTCCGACTATATGTGGACGGACAGATGGAGCGTCCAAACATCTGAACTTCTGCTGACGGCTGTGCTTCATCTCTTTCCACTGTAATTATCTGGAGCGCCTCGGTGTTTGTTAGATAACCCACAAACATCAGTTCTGTCCGTCCTGTTCTATTAATATCTCTCCTTCTCTCACATTTGTTTACTCTCTTCTCTGTTCATACTTCTCTCTAGTCTCACAGAAACACAATCTGGTCGACTTTGCAGTTTATTCTGGTCAAGAACTGCCCACTTATTTATAGAGGAACATAGAGTCTCGTCTGGGTGCGTTACTGGAAAATGTGTGCTGAATTTGTTTTTGGATTCATTGAAGCAGACTGGTATTTAAAAACCTAACTTATTTTGCCACACTGCAGCTTTCTTAATATGTGGTGTCTTGTTTTTCAGACACATTTATTGATGAAGAAAAATAACTTATGATATTGACACATTTTCTGATAAATGGACAACAATTGAGTTTAAAACAATTAAATTAATAATGTTTAAAAAATAATACACAAAATAACATGACTTTAACCGATTAGTTGATTAACAGAATTTCTTTTAATTAAGACTTGCTATCTTAAGTCATTTTTTTCAAATAGATGTATGAATTTGTGAATCTGTACCTTCTCTTTGAGTTGGCTGATTTCTGACTGCAGGCCCTGGTTTTCGTTCTCCTGGTCATTCTTCTCTTTCCCCAGCTTCTCTTTCTCAGTGCTCAGATCCAGAACCTTCTGCTCGTAATCGGACTCCATCTTCTTCAGCTCCACCTGCAGCTCGTGACGGGCCATCAACTCTGCGTCCAGCTGCACAGAACAGAGCATCCATCATCAGAACAACATACATCTGCATAAACCACCGACCACAAAACACACATTTATGGCAAATAAAAGTGATTCAAGTGAAAACCTTTTGAATGGTTTGAGATCTGTACTTTTTTATGCTTATGAAAAGTCTCTTCTGCTCACCAAGACTACATTTATTTGATTAAAATTACAGTAAAACATTAATATTGTGAAATATTATTACAATTCAAAAGAACAGTTTTCTGTGTGAATACATAGCATCATTACTCCAGTCTTCAGTGTCACATGATCCTTCACAAATCATTCTAATATGCTGATTTGCTGCTCAAGGAACATTTCTTAATATTAACAATGTTTAAAACTTAATGCTGAGCACTGAACATTGATTTTTGTTTTTATTTAAGTGGATTAAAATTCAGTTTTTTCATGTTACTGACACCAAAGTTTTGAACAGTAGTGTATACTGTATAGGGCACTTAAAAAATAAATAATATGCTAAAAACATTTCAAACCGCAATATGCTACAGCACATCACATGATCTCATTACACTGCATGTTTAATTCTGTGCGCGTCATCCAGAAGGTCAAGCGCATCGCATGCAGAATCTCAAGTAGGGCAGTGTGTTTGTATACCGTGCCGAGTATATTCTGCAAAAACAGTTTGAATCCTCATTTGACCAAAGTGATATATTGTGTTATCAATAAACTCTCAGGTGACCCGTGTTTACACAGTGACCCTCAGTTTATCACTATAAAGGTGGATTGTTGTTGTTGTCAGCGCGGGCGACTCAGAGGACAGATTCAAGAACAAATCTGAGCCGAAATGGAGCCTCTGTGGATTTTAGTATTCACCTTACAAACTTCCACAAAATCTGTCCTTCTGCCTCACACAGACAGACGTTGACAATTTCCGGTGACATTGACGGCGGGTGTTTGCTAGCCAGACATGCAATTATGTGACAGCAGCGGAAATGGAAGGGTCACATGCGCGCTCACACACACACACACACACACACACACACTTTCTCCATGTGTTAGTATTGAGAGTTGTTTGCTGTCGCTATTCTGACGACACACTGCTATTACTCTGAATTAGAAAGGGAAGGAGGGGAAAAGAGAGAAAGAGGAAACACTCGCCTGACAAGCCCGATAGCACACACACTCACACAAATGAATAAGTAAAGCAGAGAGTATTGCAGTGTTTACATTATTTGAGCTCTGACAGAGAAACACACACACACACACACACACACACACACACACACACACACAAAAGGGAAAATCTCAGAATCTTAACAATAATGTGGAATTGTTACCACACACACACACACACACTTTCTCCATGTGTTAGTATTGAGAGTTGTTTGCTGTCGCTATTCTGACGACACACTGCTATTACTCTGAATTAGAAAGGGAAGGAGGGGAAAAGAGAGAAAGAGGAAACACTCGCCTGACAAGCCCGATAGCACACACACTCACACAAATGAATAAGTAAAGCAGAGAGTATTGCAGTGTTTACATTATTTGAGCTCTGACAGAGAAACACACACACACACACACACACACACACACACACACACACACAGAAGGGTAAATCTCAGAAACTTGACAATAATGTGTCATGGTTACATTGCACCCCCAAAAAAAAATATATATTTTACTTAAAAAAAATCTGTTTATAAAAGATTCACTGATTTATAAGTGATTTAAAATGTATTTTGTATTTTTATTTGCTGCAATTCCTTTCAGCTTATAAGTATCAAAATGCCAAATGTTATATATGTATATGTGTATATATGTGTGTGTGTGTGTGTGTGTGAAAGAGAGTGTATATAATATATATACACACACACACACATATATATGTATGAAACATGAAAAAAAAAAATCTGGTCGTATTACAGTAATGAAAAAGAAATTGTTTAATATTGAGAACTTAATTGCCTAATTGTCGTGAAAATAAAAATAAATTAATTTTCATTGCTATAATGTAAAAAATACATAACATTCATCGGTAACATTTATACATAATGGCAGAATTTGCTGCATTGTATTTAATTAATGATTTCCATTAAAATAATTTTAATCTTTATATAACATTGGTCAATTGTAATACAGTAAGAAAACATTGTATTACAGCAATGAGAGTCGAATAAGAATCATTAATAAGTTGCAAAGATTCAATTAAAATAAAACATCAGGATGAATTATGGTAATGAACATTTTTTAAGGTTAAATGTGTTTGTCATGAAAAAGAAATATCATGGTCATCATTAATGTCATGTGAAAAAAAAATAAACATATGTAATTTTTACCTGTAACATTTATCCATAATAGTAGAATTTGTTGCACAGCATTACATTTAATTTGTGGTGATAATTCAAAATTAATCAAAAACGTAATGAATGATATAAAATAATCCGCTTTTAAATTGCAATACAGTAGTAAAACACTGCATTACACTAATGAGAACGTAATTTGAGTAATTATTGAGAGGCACAAAAAAAATAAAGTAAAACATGGTAATGAGAATTCGAGGGTTAATTTTGCTTAACTCGTGGAAATAATGTCACAATGAAAAAAAAGTGCTTATAATAAGCTCTATTCTCTTTGATTTTTTTTTTTTTTTTGATTTGGGAGTGAAATATGACCCGGATATGTTTTTTTTTTGCATACATACACAACAGTACATGCATTCAGATAAAGGCGCACACACACACACACACACAGGGTAATTGTAGACTGTGTTTGGTAAGTTTAGAGGGAAGATGTCAGGAAGAGACAGGAAATCTCAGTTCTGCTCGTCTCACCTCCCAAATTACACATCTGTCAACTGACAGGCGCGCTGAGACAGCGGGGGGGCGTCTGGGAGCAGCGGCTGCATGTGTGTGTGTGTGTGTTTGCCGCAGTAGATCTGCTGATGTTGATCGATATTGGAGGGCCAGACAATGATTTAGTTGAAATCTGTGTCATTCTTCCAGACTCAAGCGTGTGTTTGTCCGAATCAATACCTTCTTTTCCAGCTCCGTGGCCTTAGCTTCACTCACTTCCACTTTGGTCTGATCAACCATGTTATCTAGAGAGAAAGAGAGACAGCCAGCGAGTGAATAGATGGTTTTAGAGGTGTGTGTGTGTAAAGTGCCCTTCACTGCGACGAGTCTCTTTTCCTCCTGTGATTCGTGCTCTGATTACTGAACGATCTAATTAAAATCTGCTGCTCGCTCCATCCCATCTCAAACTCACACTAAAATAAGAAACCCAAAAGCGTCTTTGAAATCACCACACAAAGGGCAGCATACATTTACTCATCTAAAGCTTCTGGAAAACTCTTCTGTGTCTGTTCTCAAGCCCTAAAGTCTCTCTAAACTCCAGATCAATATCACTCGCATATGTGGCGTTACAAACCAAAAAGAGTCTCAGGAAAGCGAACAAAGCTTAGTTTAACCGGCGAGTCAGCGAGAGGATCAGCGCTGACGTCAGCAGCCAATGGGAGGGGTTTCTGGTGAGATATGATAATGAGATCACAGGTGGCAGAGAGAATGGAAGTACAAGAGGAAGTATGCCAGCAAAATTTGAAGTACAAAGGAAAATGCATAAAGAAGTTCACAAGGAAGGAAATTTGAAAATGTACAGAAATAAACAGTATAGCATGCATGGAAGTTCATATGGAATTAAAGAGGAATGACAGGAAGGATGGAAGTGTGGAATGATGTTTGAAAGGAAGTTCAGGAGGAAGTACAAAAGGAAGTATGAAAGGAAGCATGGAAGTACAGAAGGAAGTTCTGAAGTACAGAGCTTGGTATGCATGAAAGTTCAAAGGGAAGTAAGGACGTGTAACAGGAGGGATGGAAGCGTAAAATGGAAAGATGGATGGTCTGAAAGGAAGAATGAAAGTTTGATAAGAGTAATGGAAATATGGAAGTAGAATGGGAGGGAGAACGTTTATAAGGAAAGATGAATGGAAGTAAGGAAGTTTGTATGGAAGGAAGTATAACAGGAAGGATGGAAGTATGGAAGGAAGTATAGAATGAAATCTGAAGGAATAAATGGAAGTAGGTAGGTTGGAAAGAAGTTCAAAAGGAAATAAGAAACTATGGATGTTTGTATGGAAAGTTTGAAAGGAAGGATAGAAGTACAGAATGATGTTTGAAAGGAAGTACAGTGTAAAGTATGCATGAAAGTTTATAAGTATGGAAGTATGACAGGAGGTATGGAAGTTAGTATGGAAGCAAGTATGAAAAGAAAATTCACAAGGAAGCTCAAAAGGAAAGATGAAAGGGCGAAGAAAGTTTCTAAATATTGAAGGTAGTATGGAAGGAAGAACGTAGTTTAGTTTAAGCAGAGGGAAGTACTGAATGAAAACTACATTGGGAAGTACAGAAGAAAAGGAAGAAGGAAATGTTAAAAATGTTTCAAATAGCTTAGAATCAGCATAAATCTGTTCATTGTGAAAACAATTACATTTATTCAATTGAAAGAGTGAACATGGTTAAAATATGGCTACGATTACTAATACAGACAACTGACAAATATGCATCACATTAGGTTTTTTAGTTTATGCTAAAATAGTCTAATCCAAACGGATGGACATTTTTCTAATTAAAATACACAAATCTTAGGCCTCAATATTTTTTCAGTGAACCTGGAGAAGCTTTAGCCCAAACAGCTAATGTGAGCCACACCACAGGCTGTCTCCGACAAATACTACACACTAATGACAAAATGAGCTTATTTTTATTAAATCCTAAAGAGCTGTTTGTGGAGCACTCTCAATGTCACGCCCGATTATTCTGGATGAGATTTGAGATGTTCTGATATTTTGTGGTTGATTCTGTACGCTGCCTCTCTGTGGCCAAATGTGGCATTACAGTGTCTTGTGTTAGTCTCTTACCTATCAGATGGCCCACGTCCAGATCAAACTTCCTGCATTTGAAGTCTGGATCACAGCCGTTCCGGTGCAGAACGATCTGAGCCGTACACTCATCGATGAGTTTATAGTACTGAGGCCTGAGGGACAAACAGAGACAGACAGACGTCAATCTGTGTTTGACTAGATTCTGAAGCCAAACAGAGATATCGAGAGGCGAGTTCATAAAATAAAATAAGAGATTTTCATCACACTGTTCGGCACAAGGTTGCACACACCAGCCATCCATGATGACCTCCAGTGAGCTTTCAAAATGAGACCCTGTTGACAATCTTATCCATCAAAACTGCATTATGACAACTAGAAATGCTGTCTAGGCAGGCGGCTCGCTAGTTTTGAAACGCAGCCCATATGGGATTGTGTGTGAGTGTGTAGTGAGATAAGATTTATATATGTGCATGCAAATTGCCCCGACCATGTGAATTACATAGTTTTAATACAACAAACTTAATGGGATGCATATTTGTCTGACTTACATGAAACAGGTAAAAAAAAAAAAAGATTTCTGCACTCAAAAATGAAAAAATAAAATAATAATCAAGGCACAGTTTATTAGCTATCTGTATTATTTAAATAATCATGCATTTAATCAAGTAGCTTAGAATCAACAACTCCTTATGAAAACAATTACATTTATTCAGTTGAAAAGGCTTATTATAGTTAACCATAAAAAAAGTTACTTAACATGATTGCAAGTCAAATATAAACACGTATTTTATGTCAGTTAGTTTCTGAGGCAACATTTCTCATTTTCTTTTAGTTTAAAAGATATTTAAAATATATATAAAAAACAAGCAATATGTATGAGATTGAAACCAATCAGTTTACTGATGATAAATATATAAACCTGGTTACTATGTATTTAAAGCACATTTAGTTTATGAGTGCTACTACAAAAAATGTAACCCTGACAAATATGCATCACATTAAGTTTATTAGTTAATGTATTATGTGTAATCCAAATGGATGGACATTCCAATAAATAAATCTTAAATTCAGGTCTAAATATTTTTCGATTGTTTTTGAGTGTGTGAGAGAGAGAGAGTGAAGATAGGTGACATCTTCGTGTTTGTGTGTGTGTGTGTGATGGTTTGATATTTGAGAGGTTTTCCAGACAGTCCATTTGTGAGAAATCTGCCATCTTGACCTGGTGTGAAACGAACTCGATACATTCTTCATTTTTCTTTTTCCCTTTATTTGCCCTCTTTTCTCTCCCTCCCTTCCCTCCATCAAACTCCCGGTTTCTTCGGTGGAGCGAGAGAGACCCCAAGTGTCTGTAAGAAAGCGCAGCCGCTCGTTTTCGTTCAACCAGGGGCTTTTGGAGAAATCAGAATAATCCTAATTAATTCTCTCTCCTCAGTGATTAAAGTGGTGAAATGAGAGTTTGTTTGTGGGCAGACGGGCCGCTCGGGGATTTGAGCTGCGGTTATTTTTGGAGGATAATTATATGGAGGCGTCGTCACTTTCTGCCGTGTGTCAGCACATTAATCGCTGCAGAGAAACTCGCATGAAACAATTCTGCTGATGGCAGCAGAGAAAGACCTGCAATCCGCTCCATCTCGCACTTCTGTTGCGCTGCTCCTTTCTCAAAACTCATTTACCTCCTTACGAGACGTTCACAACATTTATTGCACTTCTCTGCTCATAATCTGCAATTAAATGGTTAGTTCAGCTAATACTTCAGCATTATTTAATCATTTCATGTTCTCCATGAGGTCTCATACTCCAAAAAAGGACCTAAGAGTGACTCGTGCTCTATATTTCATGTCTTCAAGTCATACAACAGTAACTCAAAGATAATCAAATCTCACTCACTCCGCCACATTCAAACTCGGCACAAATATTCAAGCTTGTGAATAACTTGCATTTGGGTCTGTTTCTCACTCAAAACTATCCTAAGACCTGGACTATAGTCAAACAGGCTTCTGTTAGCTTTTTTGAAAAGCTTAGACAAGTTTAGAATATAGCCAAGTACTCCGTTTCTGCAGTGTGCAGTATGCACACTGTGCGCAATATGTGAATTTTCAGTTTTCATGAAAAACCCAAACAATCTACGACAAATATTTGATAAAATTAGCCATGATTTTTTAAACATCATCGTCACTCATTATTTGTTCGGAGATCAGAGCTGCACAATTCTGGATTTTTTTTTTCATTTTTATTAGTATTATTATTATTATTATTAATAATAATAATAATAATTTATATATTTTTTAATAGAGATCATGATTCCCTTCTCAATAGACTACTAAAATGTAATGTTATTTACTAGAAGTTGATAAAATGTTGCTGCAGTCTATTAAAACATCTATTTTTTATTTATTGATTATTAATCACAATTCAAAACAGTTTGAATGAATGATACAATGACTCGCTCATTACTGGGTGAATCAGTGTTTTTGAATGAAACTCTTGAATGGTTAAATAACATTAATTGTTTAAGTAATTTGTCTCCACCTACTGGCCTAACGATGTAATGGTACAATATGTATTTGAAGCACTAAGTTACTTTCAAAAGGTGTTTAACAAAAGTTTAATAGTCATAGCTGAATTGTGGTCATTTAGGAATAAGTTTGCATAAGTGTTCAAATCAAGATCACAAACCTAACAATAATTCGTGAAGCTCTACTTGAAATTAAATTAAAAATGCAAGCTATTTTATTCATGAATTACACTTGCAGTGTACTGAAAACGTATACTACAGTACTATTTGAAAATTTGTTTCATATCGCATACTATTCCACATACTTAAAAAATAGTATACAGTATATACTGTGCAGTACACTAGCATTCTATTCCAAACATTACACACACACACACACACAGGCTCAGGACAGAAACAGGCTCTCCAATTTCCTGCCTGTCGGATCACATTGAGCAGACAAGGAACAAGCAACAAGTCTGACATCCTGAAAGCGTTTACAAACCATCACACACACACACACACACACACACACATCTCCATCTGTCCATGTATTTGCACACTCCCACCAGCTCTTCTCTGCTGTGTATGTGTGTGTGTGTGTGTGAAAGGCTGTTTTAAGAGAGAATAAGAGTGTGTGTGGGAGACTTTAGACGTGCAGGTTAGAGAAACAGAATTGAAAGAAATATGTCTTTTCTCCACTGCAATCATTTCTCTGCCAAGAAAACCTTTAAATGCACCGACGTGTGTGTGTGTGTGTGTGTGTACATGCTTGTGTGTGTCTGCTAGTTAATTGAAGCGGGGGTGTCATACAGTGGCTGGGTTCTTATTCAGAGCTGGTCGCCGACGGCAACCGCATCCGCCTCCTGCTGCCCATCAATCAAACGTCTCCTCGTCTCTGATGGCATCCATCTCTCCGGTTTCTCTCATTTATCCATAAACTCAAACTCACTCATGAGAATAACTACGATCTTGTCTCTTAAAGGGACAGTTCAGCCAAAATTCATAATTCTGCCTCTATTTAGTCACCCTTATTTTGTTCCAAACCTGTAAGACTTTTTTCTTTTGTGTTACATAAAAGGCTAATTGAAAAGACTGCACTGGTTTGCTCTTTTTATGCTGTTATACTGAATAGAGACTGAGGTAAAAGCATCAGAACAGCAGTCCATATGACTCACGCAGTGAAACAGAATATAATATAGGTTATAATTACTGAAAATCTGTACCTCCAGTGAGAAGTAATTGGATTGATCTGGTTTTCACTAATTCAATGATCTAATTCACAACCAAATCAACAGATTCACTGTTGATTTAAAAGATTAAAATCAAACGAAAATACTTTTGCAAATCGGACATCAGTACTTATGAAAGAATAATTTTTCTTTGAATAACAGCTTAATGTTGGTCAGTTCCTCACATAAAGCTATCATATGACTTCAGAAGATGTGTAATATAGGACCAGGGTTGTACAAAATATATTTTTTAATGCTTTTGCATACTTTTTTGAGGCTTAAAAGGTTTCTGTTCATTGTAATTGCATACGAAACAAGTCTTTTTCTTCTTTTATGTTCCACAGAAGTCAGTCATACAGGTTTGGAGAAACAAAAGGTTGTTGTTGTTAACCAGAACTAAAATGACTGAAAATCATTTTCACTCAATAAAATAAAATATAAAATTAAAAATAAATTAAAATAAAACTTAACAAAAATTAGAAATGCTATCTGACTGAAATAATTTGAAATTGAAGTACTAAAATTACTAAAACTGAATTACAATAAATTAAAGCTAAATAGAAATGTCCAAAATCACATACAATTCATATTTAAAATGGAAATATAAAAACAGAAAACTAAAATAGAAATAAATACTATAATAGCATATAAATAATACTGTGACAGAATTTTTATTTTTGGGTGAGCTATCGCTTGAAATAATTCCTGGTCCACGTTCACAGTCAGTGTTTGGGATTCACTGTATTTGCAATGAGATGTGACTCTGAAATTGTCACGTACACACACAACGGGAACAGATCCAATAATGTCTGTACAGACGGGACAATGAAATCATTCCTCTTCTCTAACTCAGTTACACTCATAACCACAGCAACAGTTAACCCAAATGAAGACATTAGCTCTGTTCCACAACCTAGTGACCCACCTACAGAAAGTCAAGTCATCGCTGGCCACTTACAGACTGCTGGATTCAGTAAATAGTAGAATTACACAACCTTCCAAGATGCCTTGCTTTGATTAAATTAATCCTTCATGAGGAAGACAATCCCTGAGAACAGTACAGTTATTATCTAAGATAGTTAATGAAGAGAGAAAAGCGTTCATTATATTCCTTTCATTTATTATTTTGCCTATGTAGACAGCAGACAGATAGGGAGCGCACTGGACTTTTGTATTGCGTCTGACCCCTGTGTGTTCTGTCTGGTTGTGCTTTTTTATTCAATTCAGGTTTTTGTCCAAAGTTTTGACAGGTGTTTTTCTTGCTCTGCAAGCACACAATAACATCACTTTCTGACATTTCTCATAAGCTGAGAGCAGTTGACAGCTGTAACATCAGTGATTGACAGTCAAATAACCTCTCAAGCTCACGCTTGTATATGCATGTCAAGTTGTCAGCCACAGTTTCATCAATATAGCACGCATCAGCTAGCTCAAAATTCATTTGTGAAGTTTTCCGACAGGGTTAAAGGTCACTGCAGGGTGAAGGTGAGCGCTCGTACCTGGCCATGTAGTCGGTTCGCACCAGTAGCAGGTGCTGCATCAGAGACAGGAAGAGAGGTTCAGTTTTAGAGTCCTTCACCGTGTTCATCAAGATCTGGAAGACTTCAGTCACATCAGTGACAACAGAGTTAAAGAACAACAACAAAAACATTTGATGTAGTTTACTTTCCATAACTGAAAATACATCTGTCCAGTGTTCTTACTATTGGTAACTAAAACCAAACCTATTTAAGAAAAAAAAAATCCTAATAGACAATAAAATATAAAATAATATATTTGATGAGGGAATTCATCTAAATGAAAATTAGAAAAGTTCCCTGGGGTATTAACTTGCGTCTCAGTAAGTCTCAAGTACTAAAATCATTTGACAATCTAAAACTTAATTAAAAACCCTTTAGAAATATTTTTTAAAACAAATGATTAAAAATGGCAAAAGCACATAAAATTAACCGGAAATATAAAAATGAATTATAAAAAATAACACCTGCAGTGAATATTACATGAATATAATATATTTCATTCAGCTCTACTGTGATCATTTCTAAGACTATAAAATGCAACTTTCAAATCAATATTTCGATTAAACTGTACTTTTTTCTCTCTTGCTGTTCATCTTTTGCGGAAAAACACACAAGATCCAGCTTAGACTTCCTGATGTCACCTGGTGGACAAAGCCTGAAAAATCAGATTTAAAAATCTACTAAAAAAAAGGCTATTTATTCTGCATCTCAGTGTATTTTGTATTTATAGCCCACTTCCAATGATAATCGAGGCTTCTTGCACAAAACCAGTCATATTTTCATTTCCTCACTGACAATAAAACAAGACTGTTTTGTTAATTTTATTTTGCTACTGTGCAGTGTTTCCCCTGCCATTATTTTAGTAACGGTCACGTAACAGACTGCTACTACTAAAATTATTAAAACCTTATTTTTAAGGAATAAGCATTCAATATTTCTTCAATGTTTTAATTGTAGTATTAAATGACCTTTATTTTCCAAAAAATTTAATTTGTTTAATTTTCATTACTTAAATGAAGGGGAAACACTAATGTGCCTTCTAAATGTAAATGACCTCTGTTATGAAACGTCTTCAAACGGGAAAAGAACGTGCTTTTTTTTAGTTTTTTTAAAGAGTAAGGCTAAATCCTGTATTTTGTGATATGAGCCTCTATAGTGTAAAATATGAGCTGAAGGATCGCCTCAGCTTGTAATAATGATTCTGCACTTTTGAGACACCAGGTGGCCAGTTTCTGAGCTACAATCAAATCCAATACAATATTAAATCAACAGCCTAAATAATACATCTACAAAGCCCAGCATTGAATCCAAAGCTCTTCAAAGGTGTCTTCGACAGATTAAAGTCAGCAGTAAAGGATATTCCATCTCAAGACGAACGTCGTCCAACCGGGAGCGAAGATCTTCAGAGTCATCATCAGCTTGTTCTTCAAACACCTGCAACTGAACCTTGAGCTCCTCGTTCTCTATCGACCTCACCTCCTACACACACAAACACAGAATCTAAGTCAAACTGAAATTAATTGTGCCATTATATAAATTAGTGATGAGTTAGACAGTAACAAGTTGGGATGAACTTCAAGTGAAAACACTAAATGATTGTTGGTCATGTTGTATTGCACATGTGCATATACAATATAATTGAGATACTAATATAGTTTATTAGTATTTTAAATTTTTCTTTTTATATTTCCCGTTTTCATTTTAATTTCAATGTTTTAGTAACTTTGTTGTGTGCTTTTGTCATTTTTATAAGTTTTAAGCTTATATAGTTTCAATTTTTTTTTCAGTTTTAGTTGTTTTTGTACAAGTTCAACTAAATGAAAATGTCTGCATTGGAAACTAGCTAAAATTAAATATGTTTCTTATATATTTTATTTCTGTTGATATGAATGTATGCATGTATGCGTGTACTTATTTTTTTATTAATTAATTTATTTTAACGGTTTTAATTTTAGTTGCAGTTCACTGTAACATCCCTGACGAGAGCTGAGACATAAAACACTGTCAGATCCAGAGTTATTATCATTACCTAAAACTAATACCATTAAAAAAAAATAATAATAATAATAATAAAATAACATTTACATTAACCAAAATAAAAAGTATATACAAAGATTTTTTTCACCTAGCTGCCAAAACATTTATCATTTTAAATGAGTTTAAATTTATGTACTAAATAACTTAAGTTAAAACTGAAATAAAATTCAATAAAAACTATATAGACATTAAAACAAATCTACTAAAAACGACAACATTTAAATTCAAAATTCAATTTAAATTCAAAATATTAATTAAAACTAGAATAGTATCTCAATGATACTAAAATAACATCTGATTTATTCTACAAAGCCGATTCATTGATTCATTTGAGTTTCTGCACTTTTTTTATTTTCTGCACAGAGATAAAATTATAATTACAGTAATGCAAACACATCATTGAAAGTCCTTGTAATATTTTATAAAGACAACATTGCTATTCATTTTTAGTAGTATTCAACTGCATGTCAGTTTTTGGGCGTGCTGTGTTTTGTGTTTGAGGACCTTCAGCAGGTCTTTGAGTCCCAGTCTCATGAGCTCTGATCTCAGGTGGATCCTGAAGTCCAGCTCCTCCACTCGACTGATGAGAGCGTTGATCAGCTGCATACAGCCGGCCTGCACACACACACACACACATCAGTGAAATGACATCCCATCAGCAGCCTGTGTTCCGGAGTGTCACGTGCGGGTGTTTTACCTTGAGCGTGATGGAGTTTTTATGCATGCCGGACAGCAGCGGCTGGAACCTCTCGATCTCCTGCTCCTCAGCCTGCTCAGTGATGCACTCCAGAACTCGCTCATGACTGAAACACACGCAAAGCATAATAAGAGACTCTGTGGATAATTTAAAGCGGAATCTGTTGAGGTTTGTCTTCAACTGCTCTAGCACTTACATCTCATTTGTGCTTGTTTTTATACATGTGAAATGATTGCTCATTTTTGGTGGCATTTTTTTTTTTACTGAACGCAAGTCAGAATGATATTTGAGAGCTTTGGGAAGATTTTTAGTTAACAGAGTGAAACAAGTGTTTATAAAAGTTTTGTTTTGCTTTTATTTTTAATATTTCTTTATTAAGTTTGACATTCTGAATATCAAAATCACATTACTTTTTGTATATCATTTATTTTTAATAAAATATTTTTATTTTTTTATTAAGTTTGACATTATTAATATGAAAATCACATTATTTTTTACAGTACACCATTTAACAGTGTTCATGAAAACTAATATATATTGACAATTTATACAAGCTAATATGTTATTACAATTTCTTGTTACATTGTGTAATGACTTAATGCCTACTTAGGGCTGTAACATAAATTATGTTATAGTATTTATTTATATTTTGAATGAGGTTTTTATATTTATGTTTTTCATTTTCATTTTAGTTTGTTACTTTTGTGTGTGGTTTTGTCATTTGTAATTTTTCTATATATTTCTATATACCTTTTAATTTATTTCCGTGATTGTAGCACTTAAATTGATTTCAGTTCACAGTTTTTTTTATCTAATATTTGTATTTTATTTTATTTCAGCTTTACTTCAAATACAAAACAAATACAGAAAATCTCAGTCAGCTAAAACCTACCATGATAAAATGTTAATGAGATAAAAAAATTCAAATTATATATATATATTTATTAGGGATGTGCATCTCATGACTCGGGCCGATACGATATGCATCTCGATGCATAGCCAACGATACAATACATTAAAGATACATATGAAGCAGCTACTGATGCGATGCGATACGATACGATACGATTCACCCCGGTCACGATGCAGTGCGATCCGATTCCGATTCGATTCGATTCAATGCAATATGATGCAATGGAGAAAATATGATCACTTTTAATGCCTCGAGGTCTGTTTCATAAAACAAGTTAACCAAATAAGCATGGCTTCTTTCAGTTAGTCTGACTCATTGTCAAATTATTTGGTTCCATAAAGCAAATTTAACATAGGCATAGATCAAGCTTAGTCACTGTGGCAACTTATGCTGGGAAACTAACCTGGTCTAAAGCAGTTTAACTGTCAGGCTAAGCTAAGCTCCTCTACTGACCAATAAGAACATAATGATATTACCACCACTGTCTCACATACTATTATTTGACTTATTTTTTTGTTGGCACACTTTTTAAACCGATCCATCACATCGTTAACTTTTTATGCCGATGCACCGAGTGAATCGGGGAATCTTCCCATCCCTAATATATATATATATATATATACACACACACAGACAAATAATTTTAAATGACAAAAACAACAATACTACTAAAATATTAACTACAATTAAAATGAAAAGAAAATATAACAATATAATGGAAAATATATATACAAATATATAATAAATAATATATCATTTTTAAACAAAATACTAGTTTTATTTGTGGAATATTTATTTGTGCAAATCTATTGTCTTACATCTCTACAAGTTACAATGAAGTAAATAGTAATCAATAGTGGTAAATAGTGACAGTATTAAGGTTTTAATTGGTCCCACAGCACTGTTGCTATGGTAACTTCCTCAGGTGAACATGATTTCTGTTCTTGGGCATCTAATTGGCACTTGATGAGCTTGTATGGCTATTGAAATGCCCTTTGAATACACTGCTGAGTTTGTGAACACAGCTTCTGCTTTCAGCTTCACACTCACGTGTTTCCTGGATGCTCGAGGATACAGATGGCAGACAGCAGTTTGACTACATCCACCATCATGTGCGGGACGTTTGGATTGATGGATCGGACAAGGAGAGGGATTCCTTCTTCTGATGTCAGCATAGCTTTGAGACCGTGCTGAGAGAGACAGACAGATGGAGAGAGACATTAAGAAGAGTTTCCACGGTCTATGTTACAGTATGAGCTCAGATCTGCTCTGACCTTGTTGTTCATGAACGCTTTGAGACATCGAATTATCTCATGTTGACATTTTACACCAATCCCAGCATTCCTGTAAGAAACAGAGTGAGAGAGATAAATGCAAACATCATGCTTGAGGTGCATTTTAAAATCATTTGCATATTATAACATGGATTGTTGTGATCCTGGATGCGAATTGGCCAATACTTTAACATTATATACAAGTATAAAAATACTAACCCTGTAAATTCTACTGTATTATATACAATGAGCAAATTTCTAAAGCCTCTAAATCAGTGTTTCCCAACCTTTTTATAGTCGCGGCACCCTTTGGAAATTTTAACAAACTTGTGGCACCCTACAAAATAAATTGTCACAATATTTGAATTTCTAACTTCGATATGATAATTTGAAAAGTACAGATATTCGGTACAACAGGGAAGAACTGCAGAATATAATGTCATACAGATATTTTTAATATTATTAAAAAAAATGTTGTCCATCAATGGTGTCAATCAGTAAGCTAATTTCTAATGAAGAGACTAATTTATATGACAGATTTTAATGTAGGCTTTTATACATATGTAAACATTATTTAATTACCATTATAACTAGCTATCTCACAAATTTTTGCTCACTGTGGGGTAATTTTGGTGCAGTAGCACGAGATAGCTTGATTTCAAACTTTGAATTGAATAAAAAATAACAAATAAGCAGTCAGTAATAAAGTAAGAACAAATAAAGAAATTAATAATGATAGCACAAATAAAAAATAACGACAGGCTTTCGAATTAAATAAACTGCTTTTTAGTTTTTCAGGTAGGACTAAGAATAGGGGTAAGATATTAAACTTTTTTTTTTTAACCAATTATCCAAATAATGTTTAGTCCTAGAAAGCTGTTATTATCAGAACACGTGAGCATAACATAACGGTTAGCAGATCAATGAATGAGAGGGCAGCGTTACCAGAGTTGCCCATATACCACACCATGTTACAACACAGTAGGGCTATTGCAGACAGAAACAATACTGTACTACATCGATGTTTCCTGTCAGCTCGATTTTTGAGTGGACTTTGCTGTTCCGATGAGCATGAACGGTATACGAGTGGAGCGACTGAGCGGAGCGCACACGGATAGAGCGGGATAACACGCAGAGAGTCACACCACGTGAAAGTGAAACCCGAGCGGTGAACTAATTTTCGGCAGCCGAAATTTTGATGCATCTCTAATTATTGGCGACATCAGAAATGTATATTATATAATAGATGCTTTTTTGGACATTTTAGCAATTTAAAAATATTAAAAAATTATTTTTTTACACTGCACCCCTGCTCTCGACAGACGGCACCCCGGTTGGGAAACACTGCTCTAAATGATCAACATGATCAAAACTTTGCTGTTGCTGAAGTTGCAACTTTACTTGATTACCCAAACATAATTTTTTTGAAAAATCAGTATCAAATGTGACATCAGGCTTTTGAAGAACGTTTATTTGTTCATCTCTCAATAATCATTATATTGCATTAATCATCAAACTACTGTAAGCATTTAAATATAATCATAAGACATATTATTGGAGATATGGAGTGACGATTGATATTTATATAATTTTATGTAAGTATCTGCTATACTGTTATAAAGATCTCACTGATTTACATTATTACAATCAGAATTGTATACTTTTTGTCCACACAAATATCAGCATCTGCACTAAATTGCATATTTTTGCTCTGTTTGAGTCTGTCTTTTATGTTTTATGTTTTCCCACCATATTCTCACTATATCAGACTATATGAGCCATAAAAGCCTGATGTGTCAAATAAGATACTCAACACATATGCATTTTTTTTTAGATTTGTTTTAATATTTTGTCTAAAGGTTCAATAAGCCATTCAATAAAAATAATGATTTCATATGTCAGGCTTTACAGGGTTACGTGTCTAAACGAACCCTTTAGTCATGACTAGAGGTCGACCAATAGTGGATTTTGCCGATACCGATAGCTAGGTTGGACCACACTGGCCGATACCGATTAATTAACCGATAGTTTTAAAATTCATACTGAACAAAAACTAAAATAGTGCTTTATTAACAAAAACAGTACTGAACCATACTAGTAGTAGTAGTAAAATAAATAATAATAATAGTAAATGTTGAAATTAACACTCTAACAAGGAACAATACTTACACAGCTTTTATTAATCTTAATGCTACAAATGGACTCTTATTTTAAAGTGTTATCATTTAGCAATGGACGCAACTCGGAAAACTATCGGCATGGATTTTTGTCGATAACCGATAGTTCCAGCAATCAACTAACGGTGCCGATTAATCGGCAAAAGCGATACATCAGTCGACCTCTAGTCATGACTATAATTACAATGGCATCTTAAGATTATATTGCAGCTCTAAATGTGAATGAAATATTGTTTCATATTTTGTTGAATGAAATATTGTAAAAGTAGTCAAAACTTTCCTTCAATACAGAATCACTCTTATATAAGATACATCTAGAAAATGAATGTGTGAGTGAGTGAGTGAGTGTGTGAGTGTGTGTGTGTGTGTGTGTGTGAGTGTGTATTGTATTTATGTCATACAAAGGTTCTTCTCTCTCGTCTTGAAGTTTCTTGAGGAATGTCAGAAGCAAAGCCAAACCCTCGGCTCCAAACGTCTGGACCCAACTGAAACACACAAACAACGATTAGCTGATATCAGACACATAGAGACACTTCACTGTAAGTGTGTGTGTGTGTACCTGACGGGGTTGTTGTTTAATGACACACGCAGTGACTCCAGGCAGCTCAGTAACTGTGTGTCTCTCAGATCGGTCTTCAGCTCCTGGATGTATATCAGCGCTGACTTCGAGCTCTCCTTCTGACTCTTACCCTAAAACACACAGAGAGTCAAAGAAGTTTACAGGATGATCAGGTCACTCGCCTGTAATGATGCTACAAAGCCTCATACTGCACATCAACGCTGCTGATTAAATGTGTTTTAGTGTCACATGATCCTTCAGGAATCATTCTAATTTGCTGATTTTCTGCTCAAGAAACATTTCTGATTATTATCAGTGTTGAAAACAGTTGTGCTGCTTCATATTTTTGTATAAACTGACATTTTTTCAGGACTTTCAGGATTGACAGTTCAAAAGAACAGCATTTATTTGAAATCAGAATGTTTTGTAACATTTATGCTTTTACGGTCACTTTGAATGAAAGTATTAACACTATTCCCATTTCAAAAGGACAATTTAGACACTACAACACACACATATTTATAGTGAATTTCATATTTCTACATCAAATATCATATCTCTAAGTCAAACTAAACTAAAAGTAAAGTTTAAAATAAATACATACATGTGTGTGTATTTTATCTGTGTCTGGTCTGACTGGGTCAATATTACACAGGTAAAAGTAGTCAAAACTTTCCTTCAATACAGAATCACTCTTATATAAGATACATCTAGAAAATGAATGTGTGAGTGAGTGAGTGAGTGTGTGAGTGTGTGTGTGTGTGTGTGTGTGAGTGTGTATTGTATTTATGTCATACAAAGGTTCTTCTCTCTCGTCTTGAAGTTTCTTGAGGAATGTCAGAAGCAAAGCCAAACCCTCGGCTCCAAACGTCTGGACCCAACTGAAACACACAAACAACGATTAGCTGATATCAGACACATAGAGACACTTCACTGTAAGTGTGTGTGTGTGTACCTGACGGGGTTGTTGTTTAATGACACACGCAGTGACTCCAGGCAGCTCAGTAACTGTGTGTCTCTCAGATCGGTCTTCAGCTCCTGGATGTATATCAGCGCTGACTTCGAGCTCTCCTTCTGACTCTTACCCTAAAACACACAGAGAGTCAAAGAAGTTTACAGGATGATCAGGTCACTCGCCTGTAATGATGCTACAAAGCCTCATACTGCACATCAACGCTGCTGATTAAATGTGTTTTAGTGTCACATGATCCTTCAGGAATCATTCTAATTTGCTGATTTTCTGCTCAAGAAACATTTCTGATTATTATCAGTGTTGAAAACAGTTGTGCTGCTTCATATTTTTGTATAAACTGACATTTTTTCAGGACTTTCAGGATTGACAGTTCAAAAGAACAGCATTTATTTGAAATCAGAATGTTTTGTAACATTTATGCTTTTACGGTCACTTTGAATGAAAGTATTAACACTATTCCCATTTCAAAAGGACAATTTAGACACTACAACACACACATATTTATAGTGAATTTCATATTTCTACATCAAATATCATATCTCTAAGTCAAACTAAACTAAAAGTAAAGTTTAAAATAAATACATACATGTGTGTGTATTTTATCTGTGTCTGGTCTGACTGGGTCAATATTACACAGGTAAAAAGATTCAATAAAATGTATCCTAGTAAAACTAGTCCTGTGGCAGCACTAAGAAAGCAGATTCTGATCCAGAGCTGCAGTGTTCTCTCTGACATCTGCAGAGAAATCTGAAGCACATCCTGTGAGTGTGACAGGAAGAGCACCTGATCATGTTCAGCACCTCTGAGACTCACTGATGAATTCAGATTCAGACAGAACGTCTGTGTGTTTACAGCAGAGGTGTTGATTCAGTCAATTCAAACTAAACTCTGACAGACAGACAGATGGACAGATGTTGTGTGTGTTCTTACAGCATTGGAGGTGTGCAGGTACTGAGACACCATCTCTCTCTTGATGACGATATCCTTCTGCCTCAGCGGCCGCTGCTTCTCCTCATTCAGATTCATATCCACCTACAGACAGAGAGAGACGATTTTGTGAAGGAAAACAGAGAAAATATTGCTTTTAATTCATACTACCTTTTAATTGTTTGTTATTTTATTTTAAATAAATTAATAGATCCAAACAAAATGGGTATTTATCATGAATATCAATTTAATAATTTCATTTTTTTTTTAAATAATGTATTTTTATCATGAAAAATATTATATTTATGAGATTAATATTTGTATTATTATATTTATATTAAATATTGTTTTTAATACCACTAGTTTTATGGTTTTTCATATTTTTTAAATATCCCACAACATTAGTGTGTTGTTAGTCATGAATTATGAATTTATAATTAATATTATTTAATTCAATTAACTTTTAGCATGAAATGATTAATTGTTATTTAATTCATATTACAATTCTTTTAAATAAATAAATAAATAGATGTTTTAATAAATAGAGAACTAAAATGTGTGTTAATGAATGTATGTTTATATATATATATTTTTTTTTTTTAGATTAATAATTTTATACTATGAAAGTGTGCCGTGGTATAAAATTATGACAATTCATTTTTATTTTTATGAATTAACAAGTTCGACCAAAAAGTGTGCTTACTGCTTATCATCAATATAATTTCTTGGATATTTTATCATTTATGTATGTTTCATTATTATTTTTTATTTTTTATAAATTAGCGTTACGTATATTTTAAACCAGGCACACAAACAAACAAATACATACATATTCAAATTAATCAGAAATGAAAACGGCAATGTTTTAAACACGTTTACTTAGCTAAATTGGAATACTGCATAGACTTTATTGTTTTTATATATCTTTCTTATACAGCTAATTATAAATACTATAACCTAATCCAAACCATAAACCTAACAGAAAACTTTCTGCATTTTTCCAGTTGCAAAAAAATCTTTATTTACCAGTTTTACAAATGAGAATGTGTCCAAAACGGGGTTTATGGAGATTTTGTCAGGTTAAGCTCACTTATGGGTACAAACACACACACTCACCAGCATCTGCTCAAACAGCTCCAGCACAGACTCGTCTGACAGCTCGTTCAGCGAGGCGCTCTGGGACGGAACTTGATACTGGGCGGCTGATGAGTGTCTGATTCCCATCGTGCCCGACTTCTCCTTCTCCTTCTTCGTCCGCATGCTGGTGAAGCGCTCCAGCTGACACAGGGTCAAAGGTCAAAGCTCAGAACACAGCAAAAACACATTGGAGGATTTTACACTGTGTCTTAGTCACTGCATGTTCAGAATGGCATACTAACATCCTACATGCACAGTTTATGAGTTTTTAGCATGCATGGACTCAAATGTCTTACTGCATTTGGCAAAGACGTAGAACATAAGAAGAATGCAAATCTGACCTTCCATTTGCAGTGCACACTGTGCAGTAAATAGAATGCCAGTATTTCATTCTGAACACAGAAACCGTTTAATTGACAGAACATGCTCTGCTGGGAACAATAAACTGATATCATCTCAATTTTAATTGTCTTTATACGTTTATCTCATCGAGTCTGTCAATCAACAAGAACAAAAGGCATTTAAGAAAATTCCAGATCAATCCTGACATACGGCTCCTCTGAGGAACCTTTTCAAGTCGAGACAAGAGTAAAGCAGCAGAAACATCGGAGATACTTACACACACATCCTCCATCACATTCAAAGCAAAACAACAGAAGCTGATATAGAACATCTCGTCAAAAATCATAATTATCTTTATTATAGCTGATCATAAAGGCTGACAGCCTAAATCAATACTATTTTGCCTGTTTTTTTTTTATGCAAAACGTACACAAAGTATCAGAGAGTCTTGAAAAAAAAGTAAAGATCTATCTATCTATCCTATGATAATCTCATCCTTTAAAAAAAAAAAAAAAAAACATCTTGATTTACACATTTTTTGGATGACCATGACCGTTTTTAATTTAAAAAAACATTTTGATTGATTAGATTTTTTTTTTGATTGATTGACAATGATTAAATATGATTATATATATATATATATATATATATTATTAAAATGTATTTTTAAAGAAGTTAATAGATTCAAAAATATTTACCAAAACATTCATATTTATTTAAAAGAAAATCTCATAAATTAACAGATCTGCAAAATATTGTTGATCAAAATAACCAATTTGAATACATTAGAATTTGGGCAATGATTTTTTTAAAAAAATTTTTTACTTAAAACAAAAAATAAATAAATAAATAACAAGCACAACAATAATAAGCAAGCAAGCATGTAAAGTAAAAATGTAACAGAAGTTTTAAAAAACTGTACATTTGTAAAAATTTGCAACAAAAAAAGTTAGAGAGTTAGTAAATAAAATAAATAAGTTAATTAATTTGTTAATTAATAAATCCTGATATTGTTTTATTTTATTTGTATTGGTCTGACTGGGTCAGTATTGGAAAAATAAAAAAAAATAAAAAATAAAAATGGAAGAAAAAATATATAAAACTATATTCTTGATGCATTATACGTGCTGCTTAATTATATTCTTAGCAGCTGCTCTCTTATTATATAAATCTTGTGTGTAGACTGTTCTCATTACATGATTCTGCTTGATACAAATATGAATCCATAGACATTTGGCAAGATGCATTTTGGCAAAGTTTTAATTTGGCCCGCTGCTGAAACATCATGACAACTCTTCAGACAAACACAAACACACATGTGAGCGTGGCATCACACACTTCCTCTGGCTGTGACAGGAGTGAGTGTGTGTGACGTCAGATCAGTTTCTGAGACACACAAACACTGATCTGAGGTCAGCCGTGATCAGACGTGAGGCAAAGTGTGCGCTACAGACACATGGTGCAGGGTGAAGGGTTAAAGGTCATGGTGGTGATGTCAGTGGCGAGGTGACAGAGAGACGGGGAAGAGTGTTAAAACACACGCGTGTGCACCTACCTCATCAGGAATCAGCCGTTTGAGAGTCTGTACAGGGAGCAGGAAAGACAAAAATCAACACTAAATACAGAGAAAGACAACAAAACTGTCAGAGAGAGAGCAGGGAAAATGGGTGGAAAAGAAAGAGTAGGAAAAGGAAATAGAAAAGAAAAGTGAAGGTATCCTGGACCATAAACTAATCAGAATCTATTTAAAAACTATATTAATGCAATAGAATTTCTATATTATTGAATTTGAGACAGAAAAAAAAAACATGTTTTTTAATCAAAGACATTTTCATTTCACATTTTCTAAAAACTAAAAAAAATTCTGCTGTTAAACGGAGATTACACGGTAGGGCTCCACGATTTGGAGGGGGACAAAAAAATCAATATTGCACAAGCATAATCCTGCCACATGAGGGCAGAGCAGCTCAGCAAATAAACATCAGCGCATCACTTCCTCTTCCCAGGAAATCAACAGTCACCTGCTTATAAACAGGTGTTTCTATGGTGAGCAAAACAATGCAGATTCTCCAAATGTTACTTGAGAATCTGTGAATGTGAGAACATGGAATGTGATGAGACATGACCTTTGACCTCACAAAACAAACCCAGCAGGGATCACATGACCTGTGGCACAGAAATGTGGATAACATTGTCACAGGTATGCGTACATGAAATACTCATATCGCCACAGAGAGATAAAGAAATATCAAAATATCAGTTGAAATACTACTAAACTTGATTCTTTTAATAGATTATTTCTGTTTAATCTGCAGTTATTTTAATAATGTACTACAGATACATATTTTTAATGGAACTATTCACTATTTCCCACTGTGGAAACACTGATACTGCCAATGTGGTTTTGTCCTGCCAATAACATAACATAACATAACATAACATAACATAACATAAATGTTATATGTTATAACATAAAATATATAACATAACATAACAAAATAAAATAACTGAGCATAACAACATAAAATAACATAACATAACTTAAAATAACTAAATAAAATTAAAAATTAAATACAAATACAAAAACATAAAAAATATTAAATTAAAAAGTTAAATTAAAAAGAAATAATGAGTAAATAAAAACAAAATAATAAATTTAAATTTAAAAATAATAAAAATATATAATAATAAACAGAATGGCAACGGTCCACCGACTTCACCAGTAGTCACATGACACAAAATCTAGGTAAATGTGTTGAGTGACCATCAACATCCCAAAACTCACTCAACCTCCTTCCTCCTGCTCTCAGATACTCAGATCCAACTACCTGTGTGTGTGTGTGTGTGTGTGTGTGTGCGTGTACGCGTTTTTGTGACAAATGAGGACATAAATTTGTATAATGACAAAGTTAAGACATAGGTATTACAAGGAGAAGGTGACTTTTCAGGACATTACCCCATGTCCCCACTTTTCAAAACGCTTATAAATCACACAGAATGGAGTGTATTGAAAATCTGAAATAGCACAAAGTCTCCTGTAAGGGGTAGGGTTAGGGGTAGGGTTGGTAAAGGGCAATAGAATATACGGTCTGTACAGTATAAAAACCATTACGACTATGGGATGTCCCCACTTTTCACAAATGTAAACCTGTGTGTGTGTGTGTGTGTGTGTGTGCGCTCAGACTATGACACATGCTTTAAAAATATAATCAATTCTCTCAATTACTCAGAAACACATAAACTCAATAAAACGTTAATTCTTTACAGCTACACCCACAAAAATCACCAAGACACACCCACACACTCAATATGAACACACACACACACACACACAAGGTGAGAACATGGAACTGCATGAGACAAAATATCAAGAACTGATAAAAATTTGCAATAGAATAGATTAGAATATAATTATTTCCACTGTTTTAAAAGTCTTTAGACACACACTTTACATATGGACCCAGAACATTCATCAGTGTCATCTTAATATGACCTCATGCATTAGATTAATGTAAACGAGTCACCCACATACATACAGATTTATACAGGTTATACAAGTGTGTGTGTGTGTGTGTGTGTCTGAAAGCACCTGCATTTCTCATTCCCTTCTAAAAATAAAAACAGATATGAGCATTCTTGTGCGTGTGTGTGTGTGTGTGTGTGTGTGTGTGTGTGTGATTTCTGTCTACTTGGTTTCCATGGAGACAAATGTCCATTTCGGTTTGCCAACTGAAGCTTGGGGAATGTGTGTGTGTGTGTGTGTGTGTGTGTTGAAATGATGTCATAATTCGGGCCCCACCAGACACGCCCGTTAAAGTGTGACAAGCCACTTCCTGCACAAAGTGCTCACAGGAAGTGTCACAAAGAAAGACACACAAGCAAAAGCTGCATTAAGAACACGCGCACACACACACACACACTAGCAGAGCATTGTTTCAGTCTATATAGGGAACAAACCAGCAGGATAATATCATTTAATAGGTCAGAAAGTTGAATTTACTCAGAGAAAATTAAAAAAATGCAGTCAATGTCACAAAATCATGCCCATGTATCTCTACACTGCAGTACAAATCAAACAAACAAACAAACATTTAATTGTATGAAGAAAATTAATTTGGTGTCAGTAAGACTTATCTCATGCTCACCAAGGCTGCATTTACTTGATCAAAAATACACACAAAAATAAGTCATATTGTGAAATATTACAATTTAAAATAACCGTTCTCTATGTGAATATTTCGTAAAATGTAATTTATTCCTGAGATCAAAGCTGAATTTTTAGCATCATTACTCCAGTCTTCAACGTCACATGATCCAAATATGCCGATTTGCAGTTGCGCTGCCTCATTTTTTTGTTGAAACCATGATACTTTTATATTTTTAGGATCCTTTGATGAACAGAAAGTTTAAAATAACAGGATTTATTTGAAATTGATTCTGCGAATTCACCACAGAATCAATAACATCTCTGTGAAATCTTGTGAGAAGCATTCAAATTCGGCACAGAATTCTGTTAAAGTTACAGATATCAGAACAAACGCCACTGATGTGGAAACCAGGAAAAACATTGTTCAATAAACACAAATCACCACCATTCACCATGGATTTATCATAGTGAAACTACAGGAACAACTTGTGGCAGAAATTATCGAATGTTTTTGAGTGTTTTTAAATGCTTCACACAACTTTTCCCAGCACTTCAAAGCTTTAAGTATTACTGAATTTGAAAGTTATTTTTATTGTGATGACATTATTTGTTCATCCTTCATAGCAGGGCTCCAAACAAAAAAAAAATAGAGTAAGGTGCCATTGGCCCCTATAAGAAATTTTTTTAGGCGCCAAATTATTTTTTTAGGTGCCACAGAATAAACGTGTTTTATTTATTTTATTATTATTTTTTAACATTTAATCATACTTTCATGTGTTTATGTCTCATCTTTTCTTGAATTTATCAGCATTTTAATCCATCTTGCAGATGACTTGGGAACTAAGGTTCAATTAAAGTGGGAACTAAACGTCTTTTCCAACTTGAAATATAGTCACAAAGAATTGTTCATGACACATAATCTGTACAAATATCACAGACCATAACAAGCATCACTTGGCCGCTGAGTGTAGTTTGGGCTCCTCAGTGCATCCTATAAGTGTTGTCATATGTCTTTCACACATTCAGTCTATTTTTCTTCATTAGTAAAATGCAATTTTGTAGGAGGAGTTGAATCATGTAGACAACAGGTTAAGTAAAAATATTAACATCCAATAGCGCACAAATATAGCAAAATGCTCTTCTTTATAGTTATTTTTCTAGCTGACTGATGACCTTATGGACACTGAATGGTTATTCTGAGGTAAATGTATTATTACGTTGCAATGTTTACAAGCTTTACACGTCTGAAACACTGAATGAGCTTTTACATGAGACATTTCAATAAGTTGTACTGTAGGTTTTCTTATAAAATAGGCTACATTTTGATGTTAATTCATGTTCATTATGTACATAGTAGTAAAGAGAAAGATATAATGGGTTTACTTGCCGCTTGAACTGAGGGGCTAAAGCGATCGCGCCTGCCGCATTAAAGAGCGCCAAAACAACATATTTATTGTTTGAATTTCGTTATAAATTTGACAATTTTAAAGCTGATACTTTGTTTGTTAAAAAGTAACAAAGCTTTTTGCGATTAATGTACAGCAAGTGTGCTTCAAATAATATGAAGTTCACGCATTAACAGAACACAGCATATAGAATAGGCATGGGCCGATTATCGGTTTCAAGGTATACCACGATTTGAAAATTTCACGGTTTCAAAACCACTAATATTTTCTGTTATACCGTTCCTGCGGTATGCGCTGTTTTTCATGTCTCCTCAAAGACTGAAAATGCACAGCATATCAAAAATAACACATTTTAGAGCTGTAATGACAATACCGTGATACCATGATATTTTTGCTTAAGGTTATCATACCATCAAAATCTCATACTGGTCCATGCCTACAATACAGGGGTGGGCGATATGAGCTAAAATTCATATCACAATATTTTACAGTGTACAGGCGATATCGATATTATATTGCAATATGAGAAAAAAAAATTTGAGACAAAATATTTTAACCTTATATAACAAGAAAAAGTGAGGGATTGGACATAGACCTGAAAAAAGTAATTTTTTTTATTGTGCAGGGCTCGCAAAATTTCAAAATCCCTGGTAGCCCTTCAGGCAGGTACTCTTCAGATTTTAGTAGCCCGAAAATTTAACTAGTCCAAATAAAAAAAATGCCTTTTTTTTAATATAGAAAGGAGTTTAAATGTCAATCAAAACTATTTTCAATACACAAATATCAACAAATATGAAGGAAGGAATTTAATTTCACTATTTACAGGGTATCTGCAGAATTTGTTTAATAAACTTAAGGCAATTTATGACCCATTTTAAGAGCTGCACAAGTAAAATGAACAGTATGAGTGGGGTTGGACAATGTCTGTGGTAACATACAGTATTGAGACATAAAATTACATGATTCACAGTTCAGGTTTTCACAAAAACAAAAATCTTATACAACAGCATTTCAGCCTTTAGACCATTT